GGCGGTGCGGGCGGGCCGGGTGCGGGGCGCCCTCTTCCGGCCGCCGGGTGAGCCGGCCTCCTTCCCCTCCTCTGCTCCAGTCTGCCCTGACACTTCTCCCCTTTTTCTCTCTCCGGGGCTCTCCACGGGACCCGTGGTGTCGCTGATGATTTCTATTCACTTTTTTGTCTATGGCTTGGTTATTATCGGGTCAGTCGATAGGTAGAGCAATACCAGAAGTTGCTTAGAAAACGATACGGGTTCTCATCCAAGCCTTCTAATTAGAATCTTAATACCCAAGAGACGCGCGGGTGATTTGTGTACACTGTGTACACGTCGGGTTTGAGATCAGCTACTGTGGAACAGTGATTCATGCCCGGGGAAGGAACCAGCAGTATCTCCAGGGAACTCGTGAGAAACGGTCGGTGTGGCCCACTCGGGAGGAGCCCGCGACCCGAGTTGAGCCGCTTTTTCCAGGAGCTTCTGAGGCCACCTGTAGGGCGGGAGCCTCTGCTTCGAGAAAGGGGCTTAAACAGCGCAGCCCTCTCACAGGGAGCTGCCGGGCCGGGCGGGGGGCTAGTCCCTCTCTCTCGGATGCGTGAAACTGCTAACAGCAATGACCAAAAATAAGGACTTTTCTTTTAAACTACAAGATGAGTTAAAGCTCCCTCTTCCCAGGTTTCCTAATGTTGCTCTAGGACTTGGAAGGAATGCAAAATTGAAAACGTGGCTGTTTGGTAAGCAACCTTAAAGAATTACAGTAGTTACATGTTTAAGTAGCAACAACCAAAAGCAGTAGTATAGAGATCCGCAATGAACGCACTCTTCTCTATGACATCTTTGTCTCATGGGCAGCTGTGTTTCCTTCCAATTTTAACTCTTCCATGATCCAATATCCCAATTAGGACACTTTTTATACTAAAGCATTTCCTGGAGATGCTGGAACAGACAATCCTGCATTCACCACTATGGTCTGATATTCCATGGTCCTTTATTTCCTACCTCTCCTGATGGCAGACCTCACTCTCAAAGGTCGTTTTCATGGTCCCCATTACTGGACAGACCCTCTTCTAGCCTAGGATCCCTTCGCATGGTACTCTGGCTTTCTTTGGGTAACCTGTGTCCTTGGCACCCAGTGAGCTCCTCAAGCTGTTGACTCTTCAGCTTCCCTTTCAGAAACTACTGAAATACGTAGCTGTGGCTGTTCAGCCTCCAGGAATCTCATGCACATTTCCCAAGTCCATTTGCAGCAGTACTTGTCATTATGAGAACTTGAAGACATTTCTAAATGTCCATCAGTTACATAGTGGAACTGTGACAGCTCTATACTTGGACATGATCTACAGCTGTCAAAAATGAGGTCGATGTGTGCACTAATGTGAGCAGAGGTAAAGCTGTCTGAAATGTATTCCTCTGTGATAGCAAGTTGCAGAAAAGTACATAATATAATTTCATTTCCTAAGTAAACAAGTGTTCCTGTATATACTGGAGTGTTTATGTCTACAAGCAAAAAAAAAAAAAATTGGCATATAAAGCAATTCTGAAACTAGGCTAAGGAAATAAGACACTTGACTCATAAGATTGTAAACTTTTTATTAAATCTCAGCGATTAAAATGTGTTGATACAAGAATAGACAAATAGAGCAGTAATATAGACTAGATACTAGATAGGCTGATAAATGCATGTATTCAAGCTTGGAATATGATACAGAGGACAGTATAAATTATTGGGGAAAGGCAGTTGTATTGGATATTTATTTAGATCTCTACCTCACCACATATACAAAAATGAATTCCACATCAATTAAAGACCTGTTTGTGAAAAAGCTTTAAAACTATCAGGAAGTACAATGTGGGTATCTTTATAACCTCAGGGCCAAGAAGGCTGTCTGATGTAGATTTGGAAAGCACACACTATAAAGGAAATAGAAAAACTTCAGTGAGAAAAACAACAATATAGACAAAGTTAAAAGCTACAAAAATATTTACAACACATACAACTGACAAATGATCAGGTTCCAAAACAGAAAGCTTCGCCAGGAATATAGCTCAGCAGTACAAGTGTCTGCCTAGCAAGCGCAAGGTCCTGAGTTCAATTCCCAGTACAAAAAAAAAAGAAAACAAAACAAAAAAGAAAGCTGCTACAACCCAATAAAGAGATCCAACTCCATAAAAAACATACAAAAGATATAAGAAGGACATTTTTAAAAACAAAAAGGATATCAGTAAACATGAAAATTCTGAACTCCTTAGTAGTCATACAAATACACCTTAAAAGTGCTACAGAATACCCTTTTCATCCCCATTAAAGGCAGACATTAAAGAAAATTGATTCTCAAGTATTTATAACAGTCCACACACTGCTGATGGGAGTGTCATTCAGTAAAACAACTTTGAGGAAAAAGTTGGGAGTCTCAGTAAAAAGTGAAATGTACATACCATCTAAATAACCTGGGCGTGGAACTTGTATATGTAGCCCTGGGAAGATACTTTTACATGGTGTTTACAGGGTGTTCATAGCTGCAGTGTGATAACAAGTTACAGCTACCTTAATGGTCATCAAAAAAGGGGCTAAATGGTACTCTATTCATCAACACACTATCAGTGATACAGACAAGGCCCCCCCATCCATTTGGAAAGAAAAACATAAAACCCTGGGCCCTTTAAACTTTTACTTCATTTATACAGCTGGGAATTAGTGACGCCATGTATAGTCGAAATGTGGGTAGGGTTTCACTACTTTGATGACAATCTTAAAAAATAGTAAGCCTTGACACAGAGTGTCCAGACACTGCCTGAGAATGTCAGGTTATGGCCTAGATGTTGCCAAGAAGTCAACATGATGATACTGGGAAGCTCAATCAGAATTTTTAGTTGCAAGCACAAAAAAACAGATTTTGAATTACTTAAATTTATTGCGAGGCCTTAAGTTCAGGAACCCAGTTGACCAAGACTGGTAGATTTGGACAGGAAAACTGAGAGGATCTAAGAGGCTGCACCAGGAGCCTTAGCCAGGTCACAGCACCAGCGCACCACAGAACGTCAGTAATGCTGTGGACTGAATACCAACACTGCCCACCTGAGTGAATTCCAAACCACCCTCACCTCTCTGTATCACTCACAGGAACGAGCCTGGGTCACAAGGGGAGGGAGAACCTCTCATGTTGGTTTTTTCAGTGGAAGGTAGGGCCCTGGTCACCCTAATACAATCCAAAAAGGAAAGAAGGTGTGGATGCTTGGGACTCCCAAACAGCGCCCCAAATAAATGAGTCAGATTCCAAGTCAATTGAGGAGGAGATCTGTGTTTTGTTTCTTTTAAAGGACCAGAGCCCTTTCCTGGGATCATGGATCTTGTTGGAGTTGCAGGAGGACTTCTAGAATACTGAGCTAGTCTGCTGGCTGGGAAGGGCTTTGCTGTGATGGCTCTGGCTTATTATAACTATGACGACATCCCCAAGGTTTTACAAGATGGAGCTGATGGGAGAGGCATTTTGAAAAGTGGAAATGGTAAGCATGGAGACTCAGTGATTCAGTGATGGAAATACTCGTGTCCAAATATACTTAGTCCACAATTATATATATATATATATATATATATATATATATAGTAGCATAGTGGCAAAATTACCACTATTATTAGCATGTTGTTGATAGGTGGCCTTAAATGTATTTAATGGAACAAGCAAAGTAATGACTTCAAGTTTTATAAGAGGGGGGCGATATAACTTATACTTGCATCTTAGAAAATTAATAGTGTGATGGACTCATATGGATGCTATTGCAAAAGCAAAGCACTCTCTGGACTATCCGAAGAATAGACATTTTCTTTCTTACACACTTTATGGGACCCTATAATTTACTGACACTTTCTTGTCAGACCCAAGAGCTGTAAAGGAGGAGGAGAAGGACTGCTTCCTTTCCTGACGCGTTTCCTTTGGCACAGCTCCTGGAGCCCCATTCTGCATTGACGTGGAGATGGGGCAACCACGAACAAAGCCCATGGAAAGACAGTCATCCTTATGCAACAATACTGAGGCAGAATCAGTGAAGGCACAAAAGTACTGATCTGAACCAACACATCTGTCTAAATTATATACTAGGGAACTACTAAGTATAGCCCCTGGTAATTTTGATTTCCACAATGGGTCATTTGAGGTTTTGCAGATGGACTTTAACCAGGCACCTCCGTGACACAGGTACGAACAGGTTTTAGTCAGTTTCCAGTTTCTCTCCCTTAGTTGAAGCACAGCCAGGTAGAGAAACCGTTGCCTCAATACTAGCTGAAGTCCATTTAGAAAAATAATCCTTACCTGGGGTAACCCCTCTAACTCCACAGCAGCCAAAGAGCCCATTCACTGGACAAATTAAACGCTATATGGCTGGTTGTACATGTCTACATTTTCCATCCCTAGTCAGCTGGGCTAGTGTGCCAATGTACTTTCAAATCCCAATTCACAAAATTTATGCACACTTTTCATTTACTCTAGCCAAGAGACCTATGTGCAGTCCTTTTGAACCTAAGGGCCACTCTCTTTAAATTAAGTAAAGGTGTCCCTGCTGTGGCAAACAGAAACACCAAAACGACACCCAGGATTTGGAGGCAGATTTGTCTACATCAATGGGCACTGATCGGGATCATTCCCAAAACATCAGGTTCTCATTGCTGGTGGCCTAGGGCTTATATGCAATAAGCAAGCAGGAGGACAGAAGCAGAATGGCTTGTCAATTGTGGATTGGTTCTTACAGTATGCATCATAGTGACCAGAGGTTTCTAAGAAACAAAATAACAAGAACCGGAACTGGAACTATTACCTAAGCAATTAACAAACTGAAATATACTGGGGGGAGGATCTTCTGCTACATCCCCACTCAAAATAATTAAAGCCTTCCCCAAGTATTTGCCCCGACTAATCCAAGATTAGTAAAAAGCAAGGTCGTGAGTTCGGTTCCCGGTACCGGAGAAAAACCAAAAAGAAAAAAAAAAGATTAGTAAAAAGTCATATACTTCACTATTGTAAAGGTATAATTAATGCTATGAATAAGAATTATATTCCAGTACAACAGTCATAAAGCACCAGGAGATAGGGACCTGAAACACCATAATGTATAACAAGGAGATTTCTGCTTATTAAAACAGACATTTACAGAGGGCCTCCCTCCAACCACACAAGGAAGGCTCATTCCAGGTCTTACTGACCAACCCCTCTGCCTCAAGCTTAAAGGAACTGACTCCTGAATACCTGTGTCCTATGTAAAGAAAACATCAGCTCCTAACTGAATCTATACTTCTGTTGATGGATTAAACCTGAAAATTTCTAGGAGTTCAGTCACAGGGGATATGTGGTAGACAGATTTCCCATGATGACCAGACTGGGGCTATATCCCCTTTCCTTGTTTCTAGATTTATTTTGTTCTGTCTTTTTCCCTGCAAGAACAATATCCTAGTCTGCATTTCCCAGTCCATCACCAAGGGAGAAACTTACAAATTGTTGAATCTGCCATCCCAAACACTGACCAATCTGTGACTCTCGTGATGGCCTAATTCAGTGTGTAACAAATTTTTCTAAGATTCTAAGTCCTACCACCTACACGAATTCTTCCTCTGGAATCTCCTTCAAAGTAAGCTTTCTCATCTACCCTCAACTCCTGTCCTCTCTCTGCTTTACCTTCTTAAAGCAGTAAGGGCCCCAGGACTATTCAACAGATCATTCCCTCTAAACCATTCCTTGTGTCTCTCTACCCGAAGTAAAAAATTATTGAGACTTATTTAAAGAGAAAGGGATACTAACAGTACTTATTAACATAACTGACCCCAGGTTTAATTCCACCCTATACAAAAACTCACAGATGGAAAAATTTTTCTTCTATCAGGTATTTCTACTATTGTTGACAGGACATTTCATCAGAAACCTCTGATGAAATGCAGCACATGTCTGAAATCCCAACACTCAGGAGGCTGAGACTTGAGGATCGTTGCAAATTCAAAGCCAACCTGAGCCAGTAGTGAGTTCAAGGACGGCCTGAACTACAGAGTGAGACCCTGTCTCAAAAAAACAAAAATCAAACAAATTAAAAAAAAAAAAAAGATATCTGGGTAACAAGAGATAAGTGTGGATCAGGACATGCAGTAGTCCCTTTTCTGTTAATATTGCAATGTACATGGGCCTGAGTACTTTATAGAGAAAATAAGATTATTTAAGTTCAAAGACACAGCACTGGCTCTAGTGAGGGACCTCTGGCTGCATCATATCATGGCAGAAGGCACTATGTGGGAGCACAAATAGACTCGTACTTAGCCCATGGGGCTGCTCTGGGCCATGCGGCCCGACCGGCCCTTCTGGCGCCTGCTCAAGCGCGACGTGCGGACGCCCTTAGCTATGAGAATGAACCGTCTACAAGTACAATGAACAATATTGACGATTCTCACAAGTATAGTGTTGACTGAAAGAAAACAGGCACTATAGAAAGCACACTGCACGATTCATTCCCATAAAGTGCAATGAAAAAGTTACCTGTGGTGTTTGAATCAGGACAACGTATTGCACTGGTTTGATATACATAGCATCCACCACACTACTGGGAGGTGGTGGAACCCCTGCGGGGCCTCCTGGCAGGTCCTCGGTCATTCAAGCTGTGCTCTTGAAGGGGACTGTGGGGCCCCAGTATTTCACTCTCTTATTTCTGGCCTGTGATGTGCTCTGGCAGGCCCCACCCTGACTATCTGGCACCCTCACCAGAGGCCTAAAGAAGTGAGACTGCCCAAACCAAGGGTGGCAGCACACACCTGTAATCCCTAGTTATCTGAGAGGCTGAGACAGGAGGCAAGTTTGAAGCCACCCTGGACAACTTAGCAAGACCCCATCTCAAAATAAAACATAATAAAAGGGTTGGGTATATAATGAAGAAGGGAAGAAGGGAGGGAGGGAGAGAGAAATACAGCAAGCAGTCCAACCGTGGATGGGGCCCTCCAAAACAGGGAGCTAAATAAACATTTTATCATTCTAAAAGTGCACCAGGTGTTTATTGCACTAATGCAGAACTGACAGATATATTTTGGGAAGCAGGAAATGCTTGCAGCAGGACCAAGAGTGAATTCTATGGTCTGGTAATAATCTATTTCTGGCTGTTTGTGCTTGCTTACATGGAAAGGTGTGTATGTATGTGTGTTGGGTTTGTGAAAACTCACCCATGTGGTTGCGCCTTTGGTATGTATGCTGTCTATGGCTAGGTATGTCCCTCAAAGTTCATGTGCTGGAAGATTACTCCCCAGTGTCACAGTGTTAAGAGGCAGGACCTTCAAAAGGGACTAGATCGCCAGGCATGGTGGCGCACGCCTGTAATTCCAGCACTCGGGAGGCTGAGGCCGGAGGATCGTTGCAAGTTTGAGGCCAGCCTGGGCTACGAAGTGAGCTCAAGGTTAGCGTGAACTGCATAGTGAGACCCTGTCTCAAAAAGACAAAAAAAAAAAGGGACTGGGTCTCGAGGGCTCTGCCTCCTGAGTGGACTGCCCTTACAGCAGATACGGTTCCTCACAAACGGATGCGTTAAGCTTCCCGCGACCTTTCTGCACGCTTTTCTGCCTTTTCGCAAAGGGATGACAGCAAGACAACACTTGCCAGATGTGGACCCCTCCAATTTGGACCCCCAGCCTCAAGTGCACGAAACAAATCTGTTTTTAAGTAAGTTGCCTGGTTTCACGTATTCTGTCATAGCGACACAGAAACAGTCCAAGACAGAGATTACTTGTCATTAAAGGTCATTCTAAAAAATACGTCACTGACCTCATGGACGCGCTGGACTTTGGCTGGATCTCATTCACGCTGGTGTCCCCACCAACCGATTACCAAACAACGCCCCACCCGGGAGAGCGCGAGGCCGAGGGTGCGAGGTTCGGCCAGAACCTCTCGGCGCCCCGCCCGCCCGGCCCCGCCCAGAGCCGGGTTCCTTTCGCCCGGACGCACGCTCGGGCCGGGCGCGGGGTCCACGGGACGGAAGCTCCCAGGCGCCCCGCGACTTGGAAGGGGCCGAGGCTCAGCCGCTCACGGCCCGCCA